GACATCCTGTCCAAGATCACGCTGAAGAGCGGCGTGGGCACCATCGTTGAGACCGGCTCCGATGATGGGCACTTCATGGCTGTCAGGGGCCCCATCACCCTGAGACACATGCGCTTCCGGCTGACCGATCTGGAAGGGCAAGTCATCCGACTGAGGGGCTCGTCCTTGTCGTTCGTGCTGTTTTTGGATCACGTCTAATCCCCCGAAGGTCGTTTAAAAAGATATTTCCTATAAAAAAAAAAACCGATGAAGCAAGCGCAACCGGCGCCAAGGCCTAGAGGCAGGCCTCCGGGCAGTAAGAACAAGCCCAAGCCGCCTGTGCTGCCCCTGCCGAAGAGCAAAAGAATGATCCCCGATCTGCCCACAGAGCCAGCATACGAAATAGACTCCCCCTTCCGGCCCAAGAGGGTGAGATTTCCCACAAAGCCCAAGGCAAGCGCGCTCCCCCAACCCAAGCCCAAGGCAGCACCCAAGGCAGCGCCCAAGGCAGCACCCAAGGCAGCGCCCAAGGCAGCGCCCGTGCCCAAGGCAGCACCCAAGGCAGCACCCAAGGCAGCGCCCAAGGCAGCACCCAAGGCTGCGCCCAAGGCAGCACCCAAGCCAGCCACCATGCCCAAGGCTGCACCCAAGGCAGCACCCAAGGCAGCGCCCGAGACAGAGCCCGAGGCACAGTTACAGCCCGAGGTACAGCCCGAGCCCGAGGTACAGCCCGAGCCCGAGGTACACAGAGAGGTACGGCCCGAGGTGCGGCCCGAGCCCGAAGAAGCGCCTCGGCCGAGCGAGCGCGCCATGCGCATGCTGGAGAGGCAGTCGGCTTACGACCGGCTGACGGCGGGCGCTAGCGTACTAGTATGAAAAGCAAGATGATGTCCATAGAGCCCCGCAACGAGCCGCAGATGCTCCGGTGGTTTCGCAAGACGTATCCCAGTTACGACCTGCAGCCGCTGCTGCTGAAGCGCCAGCGAGCTGGCTAGGCGAGCGCAGGCTGGCCCAGGAGGGGCAGCGGCACCTGGACGACGTGAGCCGGCTGACGGAGGCTGTGCACCGCCAGGCCCCCCAGCTGCGCTACGCGCGCGCCGAGCGCCGGGGCGTCGAACGCGCAGCGGGCGAAGTTGCCGCGCAGTAACGGATAAAAGAGATGAAGGGCCTTCGGTCTCACGGCTTCAGCCAGCGCCCGCGCTTCGAGCAGGTTGTGGGCTACCTGGAGCGGAATGAGCCGCTGCCCCTGGACCAGCCGGACCGCAAGGCCACCACGTTCATCACGAGCCACTTCTACTTGGACGACTTCGTGCAGTCCAGCGAGGACCCCAACCCGCAGCCTCTGCAGCACACGCCTTTGAGGGCAATTCTTGAGGAAGGCTTCCGCACTCCCGCAGAGGCCACGGACGAGGACTTGGCCCGGATGCGCCAAGGTCGAGGAAACCGCTTCGGCGAGGACGACCTTGCAGGAGACCCCGAGGCCGACGCGCTGACAAACAACGGTCAGGGCCCGCCCTCCATCACGGGCCGTTTGCGCAGCGCGGCCGACGGAGCGCAAGCGGACCTTGTGGGCGCAGGAGCAGCAGGGCTCGCAGCGGCGCAGGCCTTCCGCTCCCAGCTCCCCCAGGACGCAGCAGAGTACGTGCGCCTAAATGTGATGCCCCGCCCAGGGCCGCAGCCGCGGCCGCCTCCGCAGATCATCGGTCGACCCGACGACATAGAGCGCCTCCTGGACGAGGCGGGGCAGCGCGCGCAGGAGGTGGAGCGTGGCGCGGCGCAGGCCGTTGAGGAGACGGCGGCCGTGGCTGCGGAGGAGGGTGAGGTTGCCGTTGCCACCGAGGGCGTGGGCGGAGCCTTTGGGTACCTGGGGGGCCTGGCAGAAGGAGCAGCAGCCCTGACACCCACCGCGGGCGAGGTTGCTGGAACGTTGGCTGGCGCGGCGGGAGTTGGCGCGGCGGCAACGGCGGGGCTGGCCGCGGGCATCGCAGGCGGCGCAGCTTACAGTCTCGCGCGCGGCACGGGCTGGGTGCTGGAGAACACGCTCTTCCGGCCTCAGCAGGGCAGTGAGGACGCGGCTGCGCAGGACGTCCGGTCCGCCAACAACCCCAGCACTTCACGCTGCGCTCCGGCAGCAGCACTTCAGGCAGCCCCGCAAGCAGCCGCGCCTCCTCCCAGTCTGGCTTCCGAGTCCAGGCGCAGACCAATCACACGCCACGCCCCTTCTCCTGGGGCCTGAACCCTGTGACTCTGCCTCAGTCCCAGCCGAACTCCCGGGCAAGCTCTCGCAGCTCCGGACAGTCACGCCAGAGCCGCCTGCCTCGAAAGATCCGTCTCGGGCCTGGGAATAAAAGGTCTTTTAAGGAGAGGCGCTCACTGGGCTGGAGGTGGAAAAATCTGTCTCGGACCAGGATAATTTCCTATTCCTAGGAGAGGCGCTCACTGGGCTGGAGGTGGAAAGATCCGTCTCGGGCCAGGATAATTTCCTATTCCTAGGAGAGGCGCTCACTGGGTTGGAGGTGGAAAGATCTGTCTCGGAGATCCGTCTTGGCTCGAGGGAGAAAAAAGAATTCCCAAAGGCACTCGCCTAGTAAAAAAAATGATCTGCGCCCGGGTGGAATCGAGCCTGCGGTCTCCAAGCTTCAGAGCAGCAGCGCCTCTTCCGATTGAGCTATGGATCCTTACTAGTCAAGCACAGAGACTCCAGTGCCAGAGAGCGTCACCAGCTGATAGGCTATCAGGTGAATGAACACGTCCATCATCGTGCCGTCGAGCGCCTTGAAAGTGAACCGAGCCAGGTCGCCCGAACGGGTGCTGACGCCGCTGAGGGGCATCTTGGGCACGCGCTTGGGAAGCCCGCGATGAAGCTGTGACGCAGGTAGCCCGCGCGGTCGATGTCGATGTTGCGCACCGTGTCGTCGTAGGTCCCAGCAAGGACCGAGAGGAAGTGGAAGTGCTCAGAGGCTCCCTTCATTGGATTGTGCGGGTACTGCAGGCTGCCCAGCTGCATCTGCGACTCCAGGAGACTGTCTTCCTGCCTGGCCGCGCCGATGGGGGCCACGTCCTGCCCCGGGTTGGCCAGCAAGTGGATCTTAGAGTCTAAGTCTTAGAGCCCGCGTCGTTGTCCCAAAAAGTCACGAACGCTCCCATGAGTTTCGTGAAGGCGCGCGCGACGGTGACGTTGTGCTCCGCCACGCCCGGAGGCACCGTGGACTGCTGCGTGTGCACCGTGGGGTAGCTGAACACGAGCGACCTTCCTGAGAGGAGCACGCGGTTGAAGGACTCAACCAGCGCAGAGTCCAGGACGACCTGGGAGGCCAGAACTCGGACGTTCTGGATCTCGAAGTCGGTGCTCAGCGTGGCTCCCGCGGGTGCGCCCCGGCGTTCTCAGACCACAGCGCAGTCGTCGCGTCCGCGAACTCGATCTCTATCACCAGGTTCAGCTGCGGCGGCAGCATCTTCCCGCAGCGCAGGATGCCCACCATGGTGGGGCGCAGCAGCACGTCCGCGTAGCCGCTCTGGTGCACCGCGCGGGGTGTCCGAGAGTTGTTCACCTCGTCGAAGCCCTCCACGGCCTTGTTCTGGTTGTACTCGCGGCCCTTCAGCAGGTCATGCACGGCCACAGTGCGGCCGTGGCCGTAGTAGTTACTGTCGTCGCAGCGCTGGCCGTTGGCGAAGATCTGGATCCTCTGGATGAAACAGGCGGGGTTCGGAGTGGCAGGCGCCAGCGGGTTGGTGGCGTCCGTGTTTCTGACTCTGAAGGCGATCTTGATCGACTCGGGGTCGATGAACGAGGTACCGCTGGTCAGCGGAATGCGGCAGACCCTCGAGGTGGCTGGGGAGAAGGAGCTCAGCGAGCTTGGGAAATACTGCACGTCGTGCCGTGCTGTCACGTAGTTGGTGTTGCTGGTTTTCAGCTTGTAGTCCAGGCTCTGCATCAACTCATCCTGTGCTCCGGCTGTGACTACCTCCATGCTTCTTTATACATACGCGTTTTCACTCGTACGGCGAAGATCTCCCCGCCTGTAACTTCGGGGTGTCTGTGGGAGAATGGATTTTTTTGCCTCTCCTTAGGGGGCTTTTATTCCCAGGCCCCGAGACGGATCTTTCCACCCCCAACCCAGTGAGCGCCTCTCCTAGAAATAGGAAATTATCCTGACGGATCTTTCCACCTTCAGCCCAGTGAGCGCCTCTCCTTAGGGGCTTTTATTCCAAGGTCCGAGACGGATCTTTCCACCTCCAGCCCAGTGAGCGCCTCTCCTAGGAATAGGAAATTATCCTGGTCCGAGACGGATCTTTCCACCTCCACCCCAGTGACCGCCTCTTTATTCCAAGGTCCGAGACGGATCTTTCCACCTCCAGCCCAGTGAGCGCCTCTCCCAGGAATAGGAAATTATCCTGGCCCGAGACGGATCTTTCCATCGGATGACATCCCTTAAATCTCTGCAAGAAACCCGCTCCGCTACCACAAATTGAGGCCCACTGCCGGGGTGCCTATCCCAGAAGGGAACTGGTACCCTGTGGTAGTAGAGGTCGTTGATTTGGTCCCTGGATCTATTCCGGAGAGTCCAATATGCCAATATGGAGGATTGGAGGATGGATTGTCCCTGGTGGCTTGTGTTGACTGTGAATCCTGTAAAGCGGTCTGCAAGCCGTTTTATCACTGTACCATGAGTCGAATGACTGTACAAATGACTTGAAGGGCTTTGAGCCAAACATGTCAGCCGAGTGTGTGAATAGGTCAATGTGTGTAACCAAAAGCAACACAGGGGGTAAGCATCCGACACGCCGAACAATGTTGGCGGACACTGAAAAAGCACACGGAAAAATCCGAGGGTCTTTTTCCATGATAGCGAAAGTCGCAAACAAAAAGAGTGTGCGCTTGTAGCCTCAGCTAGTTCCAGTTTTACGAAAGTTTTCCTTTCACGACTCATAGCTACGTCGCCAGGCAGTCTGGCGTTCACAGTGATTACTGGCAACAAACGCACTGTGACTATCTGAAAGGGCTTCAGATGGGATCTCAGGTCTGGATTCATCAAGTTGTGGAAAACCCCATCTTGCGACCCCGTCCTGACCATCCGCGGCCATGAAGACAGGCGAGCCCTGGAGCGCACAGTGCGGTCCTTTTGTGTCCCGGGTTCACGTTTCGGCCAGGTGCAACAGCATTGCGTGGCACCCTGGGTGCAAAGGAGTACCTCCCTTCGAAGGTGCGGTGCACGGGACACCGCAGATGTGCGAGAGCCGAGTTGGCGGAGTGGGGGCAAGGCAACACTGTTCGTCTCGCCTCAGCGTCGGCAGATTCGAGGCAGGTTGATTTCACACTTGCCGGCCCACGTGTCCATGGTCACCTTTAATGCAGCTGTGGCCAGCTTGGGCAACTTCCTTCTAGGATCACTAAGTTCAGCCAACGTCGCGCAGAACTGGCATGGCCATGCCCCGGGGCATGATTGAAAAGCGGCGGGCAACCCAAACACGACTCCCTCTTCAAGGGAGTGACGGGCGAGTTCGTGTGGCAACGCAACCCAAGCGATTGAAACAGAGATGTGAGACAAGCGTGATAGCAGTGCGAGCCATGTCCCTGCGGGGCTTGCTTCCAACACGCTGGCTGTAGTCGGCGGACAATGCGCGCGCAAAGAGCATTGCTCGAGCTCTCCCCTTCTTGTCAAAGGCGCTTGGCACTATGTCAGGGTAGCTTTTGTTTCTCCGTACGCAGCAAGCCAGTTTTCTTGCAGGTGCAGTCCTACCCGGCAGGTCTATGCACTGATGTTATGTAGCAAAGCAGGTCAAAGTTCGTCCGCAAATCCCGGAACAGCGGTAGAATGTTCGCTGCATGCAGTCAGCTGAGTAGAGAAACTTGCTCCAAGTTGCGCAGAACAGTTCTTGTTGTTCTTCCTCTTTTTGTGTCACTCTGGTTTGAATTGCCCTGCTGTTTTTAGCCGCCTTTCACATGGTTTTGAGATCTCAGAAGCCTTTTTCTTCTGTCGCATCGTGCCGCATCCACAGTAAATTCCCTCGAGGACTGTTTCTTGGGGCACCCAGAGGGGGTGGTGCATGGGCACCGCGACAGTTTGACAACACTAGGCCAGACACCATGACACATGTGCCTTGTGCCAGAAGTACGAAGTGCGGTCGTTGATTTTTCTTCACATAAACTATCCGTAGCTACCCAGGCTTGCCAGTTTTTGCCTTGCTCAGTTTGGCATTTCTTTGCAGGATCAACCTCTGGTCGCTCTCGGACAGCCAGCCGGTCAACGTGCTGGAAGGGCATGAGGCATCGCTGCAAACTTGCACACCTACCTCGGGAAGTGCGAAACGCAACGTTTCTAAAATTGCAGGATCGAGTGAACAGAATTCTGTTGACGCCTTAGTCAATTCCCTCGGTCCCAATCCCGATTCTCCCAATTCCCTTTCTGTCCGTTTTGGTCTGAGGTTTCATCCTATGGGCGAGCACTTGGTCTCCACATCCCATGAGACTTGGCAATTCGCCGTGTGACAGGTGTGCAGATATGCCGCATGCCGAGGACATGAGTTGGCGGCTCTGGGATGTTGAAACCACCACCGAGCTGTTGCTGCAGGTGCGTGGCAACGCTTGTGTGCATAAGTTCCTTGCGAGTTCGCGGCCAGGAAGGTCACTCTCGACCTGTCTATGGGGCCTCCATCCATCCAGATGGCTCTTTGGTGGCAACTTCTGATTTGGGCGGAGTCGTCCGGGTGCCGGCCTCGAGTCGCCCGTTGGGCATTTCGTCTATGCGCACCGCGCTTCGCTGGACGTGTTTTTGCCGTGAGGTCTGGGACCTTCGCAGTGGAAAAACAGTCATGCCACTGGCGGCGCATGGCAAGCAGGTCTGCGCGACAGCAACCTGTAATCCCACGAGCGTCACGTAAAGCAGCTACATGATAGTATAGCAAGTGCCGCAATTTTCTCACGTCCTTAAGCTTTGCAGGTGATGGCGGTTGACTTTCACCCGCGTGGCACTGTGCTAGCCACGGCCAGCGATGACCACAGCGTCCGAGTCTGGGATCTTCGCAAGCGCAGGCCAGGAGAATGGAGAGCGTGACACGACGAAATGCCTGCAACAGATGCCAGGTGTACTCACAATCTACTGCTCCACAACAAGCTCATCTCTGAGGCCTATTACCTTAGGCTTATTGGCATTTTTTCCCAAATGGACTCGATTCGTCGATAGGTGAGCTTTGAAAGAGGCGAGGGACGACTGATCTTGACCTCCAGCTACGATGGCACTGTGAAGATTTGCTCGACCACCGACTGGAAGGTGGTGAAGGCCAGGTCGACCGACCGAGTCGGACTCGTCAGAATAGGTCGACTCGGCGGCGTGTCGGAATGTCAAAAACATTTCTTGCGAGCAGCTTAGCTTGTTCCATTTTGTTTGTCTCTCTCCAAGGTTCTCATCGGCCACGAGGGCCGTGTCATGGGCGCAGACCACGTCCCAGCTGCCGTGGGCGGACCCCGACCCAGTGAGAGTGAAGCGATGTAAAAGGGTCAACACCCTGTAAAACCCTGTGTCTTTGTCTCTTGCGATGTTCCCCTCAAGCAATCCTCTGTTTATTCTGCTTATCAAGCTCCAATGTACGGAATGCAATCGGAACGTATGGAGTGCATAGCCGAGGTGGGATTTCTGCTCCCCCTCTGCTTTTCCAGTCTCCCGTGTTTGGTGTCGGTGAGGCAAGGCAAACTGGTGTGAAAAGCCGGAGTCAATCACCGATCGTGTTTCTCAGCAATCTTGGCATTAATTTGCAGCGGAGACTTCCCTACCAAGCACTCCTACACAAGTCGGTTTTGTCATGTTTTGCTTTCTTGAGTTGTTCACTGGTACCACGGCAATACTCCTTGCCCCTTTGATCTTGAGTGCTGCCCCTTCCCTTTGCTTCTCAGAAGAACAAGTGAAACTGTGACGCAAGTGGAAAGGTATGTGAGAGAAACACAACGCCTTTCCAAGGCCACCACTACATTGGCTCGGTCGCGTTCGACCGCACCCTGAAGTTCTGGTCTACTCAGGTGGGGTGCACATGCTGAGACGAACAGATGTATTGCCTTCTCAATATGTGTCAAAGGCACGGCGTGCAATACCACGCAGTCTTCTTTTTGCACTTTCGCATCCTTCGGCTTCCTTGTCATCTTTCTTTGTCTATTCCCTTTCCAAGTTCTTTTGATATTTTGAATTCTTGGCATCTTTAGTTTTGCAAGTGCATTTCTCTTTTGCTCGGCTCGACGGATTTCAACGGCTCGCCTTTTCGCCTTTTCGCCTCTTCGCCTTTTCGCCTTTTCGCCTTTTCGCCTTTTCGCCTTTTCGCCTTTTGTCCTTTTCTTCACTTCTCCACTTCTCATCTTTTTTCGTGTTTTTTTCGGAAGTTCCTTAGCATTCTCATCCTTGAAGAACAAGGAGTTCTGTTCCCCTTTCCATCGCTTTTCTGCTTTGCCTTCCTTTTGCATTTTCTTCAGATTTATTTCTTCTCCTTCTCTTTCCCCTTTCACTCATTTTTCGTCCTCTTTTCCCTTGTCTTTCTCTTTATTCCTTTCTCGTTCTTCTTTTCGTTGTCTTTCTCGTCTTTCTCGTCTTTTTGTTTGTTTCCTTCTTTTTCACGTTCTCTTTTTTTTCCTCGCTTCTCTCAGGGCAAGGCCGAGCCGCCGGTGGATGCCACGGCCTTCATGACCTGAGACCGGATCGCTCCGATCCGAGTCCAGTGCCCGAAGTGCCCGACCCCGAGTCGAGAGGAAAAAGCAAGAGAAGCAGACGAAGACGAAGAAAGGGTAAAACACGGACAAAAAGGAACAGAGATGGGGCAAGGAAAAGCGGCAAACAAATCATAGAGAAAAGAGAAAAGGAGACAGTTGAAAAGAGTATGGAAGGATGCGCTTGCCCTTATCCTCATGAATGACCCGAAATGTTAGTGCTTCAAAAACACATGCATTCATTTGTGGTTGCATCCCGCACATTTTGGGCTATGAGCGCGCTGCATCTTGCACGTGCCTTGCGCGCAGTGGAATATAGCGACTTGGCGCAGAGAAGCCCCGCGAGTTAAAAGGCGATTAAAAAAGTCCGGGGGCCGTTGCAGTCTTTGAGGCCTTTCGTGGCGGCAATCAATGATGGAGCATGGGCGCAGCCATGATATCAAATGGATCGGCAAAGCACACCCACACACACACACACACACGGACACCTCAGAAGCGGGACAGATCCCCCCAACGACCCTATGCCGTTTGTGCCATTCGGTTGTGCCGTTGGTGCCGCAGCATCAATCAGCCTGTGAAATCATGTCATTTGCAGGCGAGGGGCATTGGGCCCATTCTGAGTTGATTGCATGTTCTGGGCGGATTGCCGTTACCGACCAGGAGTGAAGCGCACAGCCTTGAATTTCAAGGGAGAGGGTGACAAGGCCAAAAAGAAGCGCCGAAAGGCGAGCAGTTTTTGTTGTCAAAGAGCTATTTTCGCTGCTGCACAACCTGGGCCCTCACTGCTGCAAAGGTTGAGGACGATGAAGGCGAGAAGGGCGAGAAGGGCGATGGCGATGCGGCGACCTCTCAGCCGGGGACTCGGAGCTTCATGCGCGCAGCTTCGCCTCACAGCTTTGAGGGACGTCCCGGTGCTGCCAGGCGCGCGTTGTCGAACAAAACATATATATATATATATATATATCACGAGTTGATCTGGCGATTTCTCGATTTGTCTTGTTTGAGATGCGTGACTCGCGTCTTTTGGCATCTCTTCTTTTAGGGTCTGGGCGCATCGTCACCAACACTACGACTGTCCACGGCTTCGAGACAAAGTTTAAGGACGAGCCCAAGCCCTGGCAACAGCAAACGGAAATTCAGGCCTGAGGCTTTCAAACATGTTACCAGAGTAATTAGTTCATTCTGGCACTCGACAAGGCAGCAAACAGCAATTGAGGCTGGCATGAGACGATTCAGTTTTGGTACTGTTTGGCCTGTGCGACGTGTGTGCACTTTACGTTGCACTTCCCTGAGGCTAGAAGTAGGAGATACCATCATGGTGCACCATCCCACTTCACTGGAGGCGGGACGGGAGGGCACTTGTAAATTGCCCCCTTAAGGCACGCGCCAAAATTAAAGCCCGGGCTTGGAGGTTGAACTACGCATGGTCGTCTCCGCCAAAGACCCATGGCGCATCGCCATCCGAACGATGTCCGTGTCTCGATTGCCGTTCGATTGAAACCGCTGAGGTCCTGTCCCAGCGCAGTTGCGTCTTGCACCAAGCGTTTTCGAAGGCAGGCCATGCTGTGCGCGAAGAATGAGTTGCACGTCTGCACGTGCACAGGATTGCGCTTCCACCTCCGAGCTCCAGTCTCAATGGCACCAGAGATTGATTTGGAGTTCGCACACATTGCATGGTATGCTGCACCTGCGTAATCCGTGCAGGAGACGGAATGCGATTGCATGCAACTACATGTATGTTCGATTGGCGGGAAGAAGGTGTGAGGCAGATATTCCATCAAGTTGCACGCACGCACAGACCTTTCCGCAATGCTTTCCTTCTGTGGATCGACCTCTTGCTCGATCAAGGATCATCGTGCCAGGGCCATGCAAACGTTTTTTGACAATTTGGGTAGAAATAAGCATTGGCAACATGGTAGCCTGTGGGCCATTTTGAAGGGACATGGGGAGTGGTAATCCGGAGGTCGCGCACAGTTTCGGGATTCGGGATTTAATCACATTTCGGGATTAAATCAGAATTAAACACATTTCGGGATTAAATCACATTTTCGGAATTCGCGATTTGGAATTCGGGACTGGGAAGGTTCCAGCCTTTGATTCGGGATTCGGGATTCAGGATGCGCGCGAATCACATTCTCCACCAGCTTCTCCGGATCACGTCTAGGGTGCTCGCTCAATTTCCATCTTCTCTGAAGCAATTTTGACCGTGACTCATATCTAGACGCAGTTGACTCCGACTAGTCAAGCAGGAGTTTGCATGGGACCGCACGGACTTTGACAAGTGTCGACTCTGTCAACTTTCGAGTGCTGAGGTTTCACATCCGCTCTGACCTCGAAGTTCTCAGCGTCCTCAGTGTCAGCCGGCCCTGACCTCAGTGACCGCAACCCGAGGTAAAGATTCTCTAAAGATCAAGGAGAAAGCCAAGGCGCGATGGCGTGGCATGCGAGATGTGCGCTTGAATCAATAATGAATACGTGAAACAGTCAGAACGGGGACATGGGTCAAGGCGGAGATCGAAGAGGACAATCCTGAACTCTTGCAAGATGCTGCCTCGCGGGAGTTGCAAAGGCGCGAAGTGCCGAGAAGTGCTGAAGTGTATTAACCAGGCTCCCGCCTGCTGCCGCCGACCCTCGGCGCATTAAGGGAAAAGTCACAAGGACCGGTCCTGAAACACGTCCGCAAACCCAGGGACCACTTAGAAGATCCTCTACGACCACAAACAAGGATTAACGGAAAAGTCAGAAATAGGGCAGCTAGTCCGTTAATTACCGCTTGGGCCGGCTTGCGCCCAAGTCACTTCGAGTTGGCGCCTCTCCCGGGGTCGCCCTGAAACTGGCCCTCCCGAAGTTGCCCTGGACCGGTCGCCGGCAGGGACCGGGACTTGGGACCCTATCCAGGCTGGTCCCAGTCTCGCGCGCGGTTTGACTCGACGTATTGGACTCTCTTGCAGAATGGATCCAGGGATCCTCTACTACCACAAGGATTAACGGAAAAGTCAGACAGATGACAGCTCGTCCGTCAATAACCGCACGGGCCGGTTTGTGCCGAAGTCACGTTGAGCTGGTCCTAGAAACAAGGCTGTTGACCCCCTCAACCGGTCGCAATCAGTGACGACCTGGGACCCTGTCCAGTGTCCTGGGTGCCAGTCCGGAAAGTTTTCTGGAGCTTTTTGAGGTCGCGCCACAGCAATTTGAAGTACCAGCGGTCACACCAAGACTCGATCCCGGGACCGGCTTCCCAGACTGGTCCCAGACCCCAGGACCGGTTTTGGCTGACTACAAGTAATCTGAAACAACCAGGGTCCCAGGACCAGTCCCAGGACCGGTCCCAGGACTGGTCCCAGGACTGGTCCCAGGACCGGTCCCGGGACCGGTCGAGGCTGGGACGGGAGGCAGAGGGTCGGCGGATTTCCCTTCCCGTTTGTTTCCTCATCCCGACTCCTTCCTTTTCCTCCCGCTTCCTTCTTCTCTCCCAAATCTTTCTCATGTCCTCCCCTCCCTTTCTTCCTCGCTTCCTCTGCCTCCCCTTCCTCATTTCTTCCTCGTGTCCGTTTCCCTTGTCTTCTTTACGATTTCTTTTTACCTAAATAGTGTTTACACTAAGGTTTACAGTAAGAGTAAAGGCTGGCTTAGATCAAGGCCACGTGCGTATAAAGTTGTCTTCGATGCGTCGCGTTGGTGCGTGCGCGCTCGCTGTGGCGCCGTGCGAATTTGACGCATGACATTTGTGTTTTTGATGGGGGCAACAGTCTGGGAGGTGCCCGCAATGTTTTTTCAGGAAGCCTCGCGCCAAAACGAGTTTTTTTCAAGCGGTGCGTTTTTGATGGCAGCATGGCCCGCCAAAGTTCGCGCACGACGTGGGGTGGTTCTATTGAGAGCAAAGCGTTTTTGATGGGGCTGTCGCACGGTGGGTTTTCAGCGGTGGCAGTTGCTGCAAAAGTTGTCTTGCGTGCGACAGTGGCAGGTCTGGCTGAACAATCGCAACTTTGCGTTACACATGAATTGGAGTGTGTGTGTGTGCGCATCGGAATGAAGGTCTCCCCAAGATTGGTTTTATGTTGGTTTCTTGTTGAATTTGGGGTCTCCTTTTGCCCGGTCTTCTGTCGGGGTTTCCAGTTTTCTTCGGCCTCCCTTTCCGCAGGCAGCTGGACAAGCGCCTGAAGAAGCAGGCCAAGACGGTCAGCGTTCGTGAGAAGACCGGCATGTGGGGCTACAAGGCGAGAAGAAAAAAGACAAGACAAGGAGAGACAGAGAGAGAGAGAGAGAGAGGGGCGAGAATGGAGTGGGAAAAGCAAGTGAGACATTGATGACAATTGAACAATCGAAGACCATGCAGACTGGAGTGTGAATGCAGTGAATGGATGCAATCTGTGAAACGAAGGAGAGGCAATGCACAGCAATGCACACAGCTCTGTTCTGAGATCTGAGGTCGTCACCAAGAAGCTGTCTAAGGCGCACAGTCGTGCGCGAGAAGGGAAGTCAGAAAAACTTGTCAGATGTTCAATTGCTCAACTCTGCGAGCCTCCGTTTGTCTTCTCCTTCTTTACTTTTCTTAGTTTACTTAATTTTTCGATATTTCCTTTCAATTTTGTAGGCGTTTTCTTTTCTTTTCATATCAACTCGCTTGACTCCGGCTCACACATTCCGTCGACGAGGCCTCCTCCGCGGAGGACGCGCTGGATGAGCGCTGCAAGCAAGGTGGGCCGACGTGATTTGTGCCTATTCTCGGTTTCTTCGCCTTTTCTCTTATTCACTTATTGTTTTCTTTTGCCCTTAAGCTTTCATTTCCCTTCATGTCCCTTCACTCATTTCCACTCAGTTCCCTTCAGTTCCCTGCAGTTCCCTTCATTTCCCTTCACTTTCCTTCACTTTCCTTCACTTTCCTTCACTTCCCTTCCTGTCCCTTTATTTCCTTTTATGTCCCTTCAATCAAAAAGGTCTTAGGAGGGGAAAGGGGGAAAATCTCTTAGTGGGGAAAAGGGGTTGAAAGGGAGGAGAAGATCTGGGGGACAGGGGGTAGAAGATCTTGGTTTTTTTCTTCTTCTTGGATTCACATTATTTTTATTCTTTTACTTTCCTCGAATGCGGGCAAAAAAACGCTCTGAGGCCGTGACAAGTGGTGCTGCGTTTGAGCCGGTTGTGCGCACGAGCATGGCCAAAACCAAGTTGCCCAAAAAGCGTTTGCGTGCCGCGCTGCGCTGTGGAACCCCAAGGCTTCTGGCTCAAATCGCGTCCGTGGCAGGGCCTTGCAGGTGGCCCAAGCGTGTTTCCGGGTGGGGTAGAGCCAAGCCATGGCGAAAGGAGGCGGGAGTGCCTTCCGTATCCGATTCCGACGTGTCTGATGTATCTGCGTGTTTTGATTGCTTTTGACCTTAGGCCTCGTTTTCCTTTTCGCCCTCTTGGCATCGCCGCTGCCTTGAGCCTCGTGCTTGGCATGGGTGCGTGAGCAGCTGAGGCTGCGTATGCTGCAGCAGCCGGGAGCTGAGGCAAAGGTTGCCACTCCGATGAGCAAAGTGCAGATATTTTTCCCGAGATGGCTAAGGTGCTTCATGGCTCCTTCAACTCCGACTTCGACCCCCTCGAGCTTCGGCGTGCCAGACGCTGCCTTTGTTGGATTCTGTCGGCTTTCGAGTTTCAGCTTCTCCCTTGCGAGGCAAAGGGAGATGTGGAAGGCGCGCAGAGCGCAGAGCAGAGGGAGGCAGGAGGCAGAGAGAGGCCGGAGCTCGGAGCTCTGAGGCGACTTCGCAGGTGGTTCCCTCTTGGCTGGCCCGGAGGTTCCTTCTCTCGAAGGTGCACGGGAGGTCAACGCCGTGCTCTCAGGTCACGGAAGTGCGCAGCGCGAGTCCAAGCTTTGAGGTGGCAATGTTTAACAAGAAGCGCACCAAGCGAGGCGCATTTGACGCATTTGATGTTTGACAAGACTCGACAAGACTCGACAAGACTCGTCCCTGCCAGATCGAAGCGAGGGCTGGACCAAGCGAAAGAAGTTCCGCACTTGCCACGGCCCAAAGAGCATTCGTCGCACGCAACATTGGCTTTCTTTTCTTTTTTCCTTAAAGTGTATTTTTATTTCTTGCGTCGGCTGTCTTCTTTGAGCTGCAGCGGTGACGAAGGCATCCCTGTTGCTCTAGGCTCGCTTTTGGCACGCGCTGCCACCAGAAGCGGAAAGAAGGCGCTGCTTTGCGAGAAGATGTCATTTGTTCAGTCCTTCTTGTCTTTGTTTCTAGTTGTTTTCCGGGCTGGCTTTCGCTTTTGGTGGCGACCGCACAGCTGGCTTTGCCGTTGCCTTTTTCTCCGGGTGAAGGTGGGGCTTTGGACTCGGGTTCTTGGACAAGATGTGGAACCGGCGACATGCCCTTCCAAGCGCTCAGGGCAGAGTCAGCATGGAAACTCCAACCAGAGTTGACAATCGACTGAGATGGCACCAGGTCGCTTCCATCCGTTCATCCATCCATCCGTTCGTCCACACCAATCCAACAACAAGACCCACTCTGAGCCCCACGCCACCCTGTCCCAACTGAGCTTAACCTGAAAGCCTGCCTGAACCGACCTTTAAGCCCGCCTGAAAGAACCAACACCACCAACCCTACGCGCGCCATAGGCGCTTAAACCGATCGCGTGAATGTAGAATTGTTGCAACCCATGACAAATATTACGCAGTTCCCAAGTTTCAGGCGTCTGCACCGTGACCGGTGTTTATTCCATTCTTGTATTTTGGGTAGACGTGCAAGAGTCTGGTGCCATTGCCAGATCTTGAAGAGACGCATGTGGCGCGGCAAGCACGAGCTGGCCCCTGGAGACTACTGCAACTACAAGATGCGAAAGGCCTCACCTGCAGCTTATGCGTCGAGAGGTCCAGGGACGACTTGCTTGAACGATACCAGGTTGCCAGTGTTGCCTGGCCTGGCGTATGGAGTTCCGCTTGAAAGCGTTCCTTCAACCCACAAGAGTTGCCATAGCTTGAAACTGTCCTGGTCATGTCACTGAAGGCTGGCCACCTGGTGTTATGAGTTTTTGCCAGGTCAAGTCGCTGCGATGAGATGACGCGCAACGTACGGCTGGTCCATTTGCAGGCGGATGCCGCAAAAGATGTGAAACGGGTCACTTTGTGCCACCGGCGCTCCATATGCACGCTCTCGACGCGGCATGGCGTCAGCCTCGTTTCCTCGCGTCGTTTGGCCCATTTGGCCCAAGCCTTCGTGCCTGCTGGCAAATGGCACGCCGGTAGCGAACCAAGGACGCGGCTTGGCTTGGCTTGTCTTGCGTTCATGCGAGTCTGCAGGATGAAACCATCGCCTGGTTACCTCTCCAGGCATGGCTGCAATGCACAATTGTTTGTATGGCCCTTCTTGAATTTTGACATGTTTTGATGCGGCTACGTGTTCAACATAGAGTGACCCAAAAAACGGCGGGTTGCTTTGGTGTGACTTGAGTTTCTCGCTTCGCATTTGTCCCGCGTGGGATAGATGGATGGATGAAGGATGGCTGGCTGGCTGGCTGGATGGGATTGATGGATGGCTGGCTGAATGTGGATGGGTGGATGAATGCCCCACCCCACCTGCCACCCAGCAACACTCGCCCGCCCACCCACGCCCACCCAAACAAACCCTCACACACACACCCACACACCCTCCCCTATTTTGGGCCGTTATTGTCCGCCTTGCCTTTTGTCTTTCTAGCTGTCTGCCTGGCTGCCTGCCCGCCCGCCCGCCCGCCTGCCTGCCTTTTCTTTTCCGCCCTTGTTTGCATGTTGCTGGTTTTTTCGGCGGCTTGTGCCTGCTTTTGTGTTTCTACCGAGTCCCGAGCCCCCGGAAACAACCCCCGTAAAATGAATTGCCGCAGCCAATTTTAGCACTTTTTTGTTTTGAGGGCTCAGGACATGGTTTTGCCGTGATTTTGTCGAATCACTATGCCTACGCATCCGCAGCATCACCAGCAAGGGATGATGATGATGATGATGATGATGATGATGATGATGATGATGATGATGATGATGATGATGATGATGATGATGATGATGATTGTTTAACGTCACATCCGCAATCCACACAAGAATGACGACGGCTGATGTGATGGTAGCTTGCCCTGATGATCCCCAGCATTGCAAGCAAATGAGTATCATCATATGCTGGAGATGCGTAGTGATGATTACTGCCAATGGTCATCACTGCTAGAAATGGTGATGATGAGGACCCAGCAGGAATGATTACGATTCTGACCACCACCCTTCCAGTGCGCCTCGCCCTTGCAGACAAGGGGGGGTCGGCGGAAACCAACCCCAAAAGAACGTTGATGGACCGGCGCCGTTTGCGGCAAGGCCCGGACTGCGTCCGAAGGCATTTCGGCAGAGGACGGGTTCCCAGGTGCCCAGTGTCCAAGCCAAGCGCCACACAACACAAATGAACTAGTATATAAATAAACATATAAAGATATATATGGTCAACCCCCATGATCTGCCTTTTTTGTGTCATAGGCATTTTAACTATTCGTGTGTATTGCAGCTATGCCATTTCCTTGCTAGACTACCTAGTGTCGCAGTTTGTATGGTTTTTGTACGTATATGTTAGATGCAGAATCATGAGAGTGAAGGACACCCTTGACCAGGTTCTGCTTCCTGGTGCGTTCCAGTTGAACAGGTCATGATATAAAGCCTGCATGTGTACCTTGTGTCCAACTCTTACGAAGTGCTAAAAACACGTTTTTAGAGCTTTTTCTTCGATATATGCAAGCATTACGTTGCAAAAGCCAAAAAACTGAACGAAACCCAAGAAACACAAAACATCGAGAAAACCAAAAACGATTTCCGAGTGCAGATCATTGTTTTCAGTCACATTTTTGTTTTCTTTTAGTCACGGTTTTTGTTGGTGTTTAGTTTTCCTTCAGTTTTGCTTTTTAGGGCCACTTCTCCAAAAACAAATACACAACTCGAGTCTAAAAGCAAAAAACCAAGAAAGACGCGTGTGTTCGCTCGACCGCAGGGCAAGGGTCAGCTTCGCCTGGACATTCCTTCAATGTTTAAGCGCCACACAATTTTCCAACGCACGCTTGTGCGAGCGCCTATGAGGCTGGACGTGCTGCCAGTCTTTCAGCATCTGAGCTAAGATTGTACGAGGCTGCGACTGATTTGGTTCAAGTGTTTCGTGAGGTGCTTGTTCCTTCCATGGCTGTACTTCTGTGGCATCTATGCGCTGCTGCCAGGACCTGAGTTTTGGCTCACACTCACGCGTTGCTTGTGTTGCCTTGTGCCTTTTCATACAGCCCGGATGCGCCACGAGCTGAAGGTCGTGTGAGTTGCACTTTTACCGCGCAACATTGACTTACACGCTGGTGGCGCTTGCTGCCTTGCTGTTGGCTGCGCTGGGATGGACTCTTGGCGTGTCTCGGGCTTGGAACACCTGGCTTGTAGCCTCTCAGGATGTCTTTGCGTTCTGCCAAGAGCTTCCAAGAGCCGAGCTGGTTCTCCTTCCTCTTTGTGCGGCCCCCAAAGACTCGAAGACATGAACACATTCGGTTGTGTGCATGGCTGGCATGCCGTGCTGTAACACGCGAGGTGACGATGGCCGTGGCGTGGTTGCTGGGGGCGGGGCCGGTTGGATTTAGAGCCCAACGATCAACAAATTTCAACATGTACACACCCGCGCATAGAACACTACATACATACATACATATATATATATATATATACAAATGTACACATCTCAAGCTGTTCAACACATGTGTGCGCCTGCATCCTTGGCCCTTTGTACATCAAGGCCTGTTTGAACCTGACTTCTGTGTTTCCCCTAGAGGAAAAGGTAGAACTGAGCGCCCAGATCAACACAGTAGCGTCTCCACACACAACAGCAGGAACGAGACAAAGGGAGTGAGCAACAGGCAAGCAAGGGAAAAGAAAAAACCGCAAGGGCAAAAGCTACGGTTCGGTGGCTACGGGAACAACGACAACAGTTACAAGGGAGAGCACGCAGACGATGCTTCCCACACAACCAAAGGATACAGCAGCCAGTCCCAAAAGAGCAACTTGAGGACCGCAGGAGACCAACCATCCCATGATGAGGACAAGTGTCAAGCAATGGACAACTCACACAGAATGCGGCGCAGATGTGGCAAGGAGAGCTTGTTTCAGAATCAAGAAAGGCACAACACTACCAAAGCACTTCAAGTGATTCAACGAGCCCACGCACGCAAGATTGGGAGGAAAGCAGACACCGCCAACAACACCGGAGCCAGCAGCGTCACACACACACACACACACCACCTTAGCACAGCGTCCAGCAGAAGTGCATTGCGCAGGAGAGCACTGGTACAGATAGCCCACACCGGAAGAGAGCGCACCGCCGAGCCGCGCAGCATTTTACATGCCAGAGTAAGCGCGTGACGGGCCAGACATCAAGCGGCTTACGCCGCCAGTCAGAGAGGAACGCAACGCCAGGGTGGTAAGCGTCAAAAGCAGCAGACAAGCCTGCCTTTGTGAAACATCAGGAGGTTGCAGCGGAACTAGGGTCAGATGATGGGGAGTCAGGGACACCCCAAGTGTCTTACCGTGTAACGCGCGCAAGTGGTGTCAAGTTTAGCGCGGCATGTTATGATATACAGACATGTTCACGTGCACACACCTGCGCATATCAAACGAAGCACGATGCAGTTTGCAAGAGCCCTGCGACTTCAGAAGCGGCGGCCATTTGGCAGGTGGTCTTCGGGAATTTAAACTTCGCGGCCACTACCCAACCGCCGGATGCTGAAAGACTCGAGTCGACACTTGAGCCTTTGATTCTGTTGAGCATGCCCCCAGTGTGAGATATTGAGATGTGTCGAGAACAGATGTCTGCGAGGTACTGCCAGTACGCTAACCTGGACATCCTTCCTGAGGCCTCGAGTGTTGGCTTTCGAAACTCAAACTGGACCAAAGAGCCGGAGGTGAGCCCAAGCTGGACGGGGGAGGAGGTGATGTCGTCCGGCCGCGCCTTCTTCGGCAAGACCTCCGTGCTGGACATCAGGAGCGTCGCGCAGAAAGTCGTGTAGCATTGTGTAGCATTGTGTAGCATTGTGTAGCATTGTGTAGCATTGTGTAGCATTGTGCAGCATTGTGCAGCACTATTGCGTAACCCATCAAGATCATGATAAAAATGCGTATGCTAATGTACATGATAGATATGTCTTTGCTCTTTGCCAGGAGGTCCATGGCTTTCAAGAACATCGAGACCTACTGCGTTGCGCCTATCAGCTCTGGCGCCTTTGGTGCCGTCCTGCCGCTGGAGAACTATGACTTCTGGGCCGTGGGGTTGAATTGCTGCTCCCTGAACACGGCCGACTTCCGCTGCGGCGATCCGGATGCAGGGACGGAGCTGGTTCGGCCCTCCGGGTTGGGATTTCTTATGCTTGGTTACTTTAATCAGAAAGAAGCTATGATCAACCAGACGCTTGCAGTCGCCAAAGTCGAAGAAAGAGGGAAGACGCAGGGGTGAGGGGAGAACGACAGAACAGTTCATTTCGGCGCCGCGCAGACACGCAATGGAACACTGGCGCAATCATTTTTTTTAAAGCATGTCTTTCTTTTGGGAACGAGCCTGAAAGTTAATATTTAACCGCCGTTGGAGTGTTCCGCCGGCTCCCGCGGCTTCAGGCTGTCCGGGAGTAAAGGACAATAGAATAAAGCATGAGCGCTACAGCCGTGTCTGGTAGCATCAGTTGCACAGTCACGCAATAGGGTAGGATCCATGACTGCAGAGGACAGAAAGCGAAAAGTGGTCCCATCCAAGCACTGGCTCATCTTTAGAGCCATGCTTAGAAGTTCCTTAGACAGATGACCGTACCAAAGTGCAGCTTTAGCCACGCTCGAACCCCCTCCCCCCCCCTCCCCCTGTGTTGCTTTTTCTTGCACATTGACCTATTCACACACTCCGCTGACATGATGGCTCAAGGCCCTTCAAGTCATTTGTACAGTCATTCGACTCATGGTGCAGTGATAAAAAGGCTTGCAGACCGCTTCACAGGATTCGCAGTCAACACAAGCCACCAGGGACAATCCATCCTCCAATCCTCCATATTGGCATATTGGACTTTTTTCGGAATCGATCCAGGGACCAAATCAACGACCTCTACTAGCACAGGGTACCCGTTCCGTTCTGGGATAGGCACCCCGGCAGTGGGCTTCAATTTGCGGTAGCGGAGCAGGTTTTCCTGCAGAGATCCAAGGGAAGATGTCATCCGATGGAGAAGGCTTCATGGACGCCTATTCAAGTATGGCCAAACCATCAGGCTACACGGAGGAAACGCTCAATTTACCGATGACCGCCAAGCAGCCGCCATCGTGCGACGGAAAAGTCAGCTAATTTAAATATAAAGAACTCGTGGACGACTGGGTGACAATCACTACGGTGGAAGCACCCAAGAGAGGACCTCAAGAGCAGACTCACAGGAGATGCCTATATGTACAAGGCAGTCCTCCAAAATGACCTTTTGCAAGATCCTGATGAAGGAGTCAACTACTTCAAGAACACGCTGAAGAAGTACTTTTTGGAAGGTGCGACCAACGTGTATCTGTGCAGGCTCCTCAGTTTCTTCAATCATAGAAGGCAGAACCAAGAGTTCCTCATGTTTACCTCAAATTCGAAATCCTTGGCAGCATGGATGGACTTGATGCCCGTTTTCACGGCACATTCCCCATCATTTCGAAACCGCCCTCCAGTCCTGCTCGATGAGGGTGATCCAACAGTCCTCAGACAGTACATCACGGGAATGTAGGACAGACAGCGGGACGCATTTTTTCGGGGATAATCTCATTGCGCAGTTTTTCATTATTCAAAGTGAATTGTCAGATCAGCAGAGAGAAAGACTGACCAGTGCAATGTCATTGAGAAACATTTCACTAGAGAACTACTCCTATGAGATGCTGAAGACGCATTACCATGAACTCTTCATCACGACCAGGACATCCATTCAAGATCCATCCATCCGACCTCAAGGAGGCAACCGAAGCAATACATTCTTCATCATCGAACAAGGTGAATACGAAGGAGAAGAAGGCTTTTGGGTTGAGGATGAAGAAGGACTTGAAGGATTCATGTCAAACAACGATGAAGAGACATTCTGGGTCCTCGAGGAGAACGATGCGTTCATAGCAAGAAAGGTGTCAGGGCGGAATTTCAGATTCAAGAAGAGAAAAGGAAAAGGAAAATCAGGGAACAAAAAGGGCAGTCACCAACGAGGTGGCTTTAAACCCTTCAGAAAAAGTGGTTCTGGCGGGAAGGCCAATATGGCCAATGAGAACTATGATCCCTACGACCAGGCCTACGACCAGGCATATTGGGGAAAAGGCAAAGGAAAGAAGGGAAAGAAAGGAAAATCAATATTCCAATATCCCTATGATGGAAACAAGGGTTATCCACCCTATGAGAATGGCAAAGGAAAAGGCGGACATGACAAAGGAAAATCCAAGACGTTTGCAGCCATCATGGAGGAGCAGCCCGCTATCCAGCAGACTGCACCATCCACAGAGCCTACCTATGCCGGTTGGGCAGACCAAGATTGGGATCAATCATGGACATGGAACGAACAAGGCTGGTACAGATATCCAGCACAGGACAAGCGCTAATGGCATTCCGTGACGCATATGAGCATCAGGAGAAAGAGCCCATCCACGGGAAGCTGATCCAAGCAGATGCAGTTTCAGAACACAATTTGTCCGTCACAACAAATCACAGCTTTTTGGCAACAAAGCTGATGGCGCCTGTCATCAACCCTCAGCACAATCCGACCTATGCGATCCTGGACAACGGATGTACCAGATCCATGGGCAGCTGGCATGCAACCCAGCGTTTTACTCAGGCCATCGAACCCATGAAGGACATCATCTCCTATCAGTACATCCCGGCCGAGACCAAGTTCACTTTCGCAAACGGAGAGACCGCCAGGGTAAATTGGACCCTGCATCTTTGATATCACACAACTCCTCCACGCAGTACCAACATCGACGTCCTTGAACAAGGAACTGTACCGATCGTCCTCAGCATCAGTCAGATGCGGAACCTCTACATGACCATCGAGCGTACACCTCAATGTGACAAGATCACATGGAAGGTTTTTGGCATGAACCGTCAAGCAGTTCCAGTATCCGGTACAGGAAATGCGCTAGTCGACCCAGCTGGAGTTGCAAGAGTGAAGGCGCATGGAGAAATTGCTCACAAGGGCCTCACCAACTACGTCTACGATGATGACAACAGCATCAAGTTTCCCTCCGGGGATATCTTCAAGAGTGATATTGTTTGTGCAGCAAAATCATCCGACACGAAGGAGGACCTAGCAACTCCTAAAATCATTGGGTCTCAAAAGCAGGACCATTGGATCCTTGATAAGAAGAACAAGCAGCTCATCCGTGTGCGCATCACGCCTTGCAAGGCGCTGTTCACACCAAATGGAGCCAAGGAAGGTCCAATCAATCCTGATAACATCAGCCGAGAGCATACTACGGAAATCATTGATGCATCCGAAGGTGGAGATCCAGACATCCTAGAAGACAGTTGGAGACTTACATCCCAGGCAAACAAACCAATGATTAACCTGTGGATAGGTAAGACCATTTTCACCTTCGCGGACAATTCGCTTAAGGACGAAGAAACAGGCTCAGGATCGGCAGCAGACAGGATCATCGAGAAGAAGGGCCGGTCGACCATTGAGCCAGATCCTTTCGCACCATCCTCAGAAGAACCAACAACGCTTCCGCTTGCACTAGGCAGAATCCACAAGCGATTGTCAAATCCCGAAGAGTTGAAGAAGCTCCACCTCTAGCATCATCACATGACAACAGATCAATTTCGATTTAGAACTCGCTCACTTCATTTGCCGAAATCCACAGTCGATCTATTTGACAAAATCCGAAGTGAATGTGAAGTTTGCCAAGCGGCAAAACATGCACCATCACGAAGCAAGACGAGTGGGCTTCGAGCGGACACCTTTGGTGACATGACATTCATTGATCACTGTCAAGTTCCTCTTGGAACAGGAGAACACATCATTGTTTTTGTCATCCTGGATGGAGCAACAACATTGCTCACTGCAGAGGCAGTGACAACTACGCACGAAGTCGAGAACATCACTGTCCTCAGGAACTATTTTGACCGGTGCCACTTGCAGCCCAAATCAGTTGTCGCAGATCAAGCCTTCGTGACAGAGACATGGGAACATTTCTATCAGTCCCTTGACATCACACCGATATCCTTGCGACCGAACACACCATGGCCAAATCGAGCTGAGGCTGCAGTTCGACTCCTGAAGGCACAACTCAAGATCATGCTAAGTTCCATCAAGGCAGGCACAGCACCTGCAACACTGAAGAAAGTGACATATAGACAGCTGGTGAAGGCAGCTGCAACTGTCAGGAATCAGACTGTCACCTACGGGGGTGGAACACCATTGGAGCTCGCATTCGGAAGACGACCAGCAGATCTCATCCAACTTGATGTCGCAACACCGACTCAGCTGACGATTGACAGGAGTGAGGAGGAGATGACAGCCATCCAGATCAAGCAGCTGTCCAAGCAAGCATTCCAAGAAGCACGTCAATCCGAAGACAGCCGGCGAGACCTTGCTCAAAATCTCCGAATGAGTTCTAAGCCTCTTCAGGTGAAGGACAAGGTATTTTACTGGCAGGAAGACAAATCCAAGATCCGTTCCGATGGAAGCAAGGGAGGAAGATGGCTAAAAGGAAAAGTCATGTCCATTGAAGGAGGAATGGTAGGACTTGATCTTGGGACTCGACTCATCAAGGTTAACATGACGAAGGTCACAAAGGATGAAACCTTTTATTACGGGGAAACCTGGAACTGATCTTCTATTGCCAGAAGAGCGAGAATCCTTGCAGAAGGAGCAAACCGGCTCCTCTGCCGATACCAAGAAGAAAGAGTCATCCGCACCAGCTCCGAAGCCAAAATCCTCAGTGCCATTACGCATCGCGGGAAAGACAACTCCCAAGCCTGCAGCACCTCATCCAGCAGAGAACATGTTCGTCGAGGACCTCACACCCGTTCCTGAACAAGCGCACCGGAATTGTGTACGTAAAGGAAAGATCCACGTTCTTGAGATCTTTGCAGGAAGTGCCAGATTCAGTCAGTGCTGTGCACTCTCAGGTCTTAAGGTTGGGACTCCCGTCGTAGACATCCGCACCGGATTCGAAGTAATGACATCCAAGGGACGACACATGGTCATGGAGATCATCAAGGAGCAAGCACCTGATGTAATCCTCATGGCACCGGTCTGTGGACTGTGGTCAAACATGCAGAACATCTAACAAGACCAACAAAGAGTCTGGGAGAAGCGGAAACGCT